CATTTCTGAAAATTTCACTAGGTTTCAGTATTTTGTTTTTTATTCAACTTTTTTCACTTTTTTATTTCTCAGTTATATTATTTGATCTTGTCAATTTGTTTAAAAGAAATGCGCGTAAAAACACAAAAAGATGATACGAATGAGGCGTTTGTACACCAATTTCTAGGGTTCTTATGTTTATTAATCCTTATTTCATGCGCTTTCGGTGTACGCAACTCTGAACTTCCACCGTTGAGTATTGTGGAAAAGTTGGTTCCACTTCCGGCTGATATTCTTAAAACTTGTGAGGGGTCTTTTCTCGTGGAATATATTTCTAATTCGCATGTTCTCAATCAGAACGACCTCACTTTTATAGCACGGTATTCCATCTTCGACTCAACGTTGATGCAGCTAAATGGACGGAATAGATTTCGACTTTTTCACAAAGACGACCGCATAATATGCGGGCTCGCGCTTCTTTACCAAAACAATTGCGATGAAGCCTCGGATTCTATTCTCAGCTGTTTGAGAAAGCTTGGATCAAGTAACCTAGAGCTTATCATTCCAAGCAGGTGTAGTAGTACATCGTATTTCATGGAATTGATAGGTGTGGTGAATTTAATTGATGAGAAATGTGGGGCGCCGACCTCACGACTAGCCGCAGATAAGCTTCGATTAGGTTTAATCGAACAGGATAAACTAATTGGTCACGGGGAAGGACTGCCAGCGCCGGTGTTAGATCTGATCTCACAATCCAATGAAGGCTTCCTTGAGCGTGTGCTAAAAGATGGATCGTTTTCATCGAAGGAAGAAGAAATTCTGCGCAAGACATACTACGTTCCCCCGGAAATGCGTCCCTCGAATAACATGCCAAACCCGCTTCAGTGTGGAAATTATAAGGTGCATCCGATTGGCTACGCCCTCACTCGGCGTCCTTCGGACCTAACCTATCCCGAGCGAAAGCTCTTCGAGTTTTTCCCGATTAACCCCGCAATGTTTAGATCCAAACGGCGCTGGGGAGAAGTCGCGGATCCCTATCTTTTCAAAGGAAAGAAACGCATCACCGACGAGTGGTTGTACGCGACGTTGATGCGGTATAGCATGTTTGCTTTTACCCATCAACGCGGTGGGTGGGATTGCTTACGGCACCATGAGATCATACGCTACGGCGCCGTACCAGTATTTCCTGATTTGAAAGTAGCGCCATGGCGTACTTCAAGCACCACTCCGCGGGATCTCTTACTTAAAGTGCTGGAGGAGCCTATGATATCTCTCATTGGGCACCTGGAGCACGACGTGAGCGATCTATCATATAGCATTGTTCTGAAAGGGAAGGTAGTGAAGCAGACAAATTTCTTCCGCAGGTGTTGGACAAGGTGCAATATAGACTTTATCAATTGCGGCCGCATCAACCTTGAGCCCTATCGTAAAGAACACGAACAAGATCAGGATGCCGGGGTAGTGGCGCACGGGGCACCACTCACCTTTCAATCCCCCGTTATAAAACGCCATTATCAAAAACTTGCGCGTCCGCTTTGGGATCTTTTCAACGAAAAATATACCGCTGCCTCTATGATGAGCTACGTGCTGAAAACGACTCAGTACCAGGAGCCGCGGCGTGTTTTGGTGATTGGATGCACCTGGTTTGATTCTGATTATTTGCACGAGTCCGTAATGGTGGGACTGAGCGATTTGGGAATTCGAACAGAGGTGTTGGTGGAATTTGAAGCGGATAAATTTCAACGTTTTAGCGCAAAAGGACTCCATTCAGATACTAAAAAATGGCTTATACAGCGCGGCTATATTGGGGATGTTCGAGAGGTGGGCATAAAGAGAGTGGAGAGGCAAAACGCTGCACTTCACACCGAATACAGTTACTCCTTTTCCTCCAAAGGAAGGTTGAACCCGTTTGTTATATCCCGTATCGGTAATGCGCATCACCTCCCTAAAAGTGAACAATTTCGTGTCTTCTCAAAGGATGTTGCGAATCTTGACGAGCGCATTCGTCGTGGAGATTTCGATATGGTGATATATAGCCTTGTGCGCTCCGAAATACGATATGGGGATTATAGCGTATTACCGTTATACTCAACGGTGTGTAATCACCTTCCTAAAAAACAAATTGTCTTCATGAATCATAATGACATTGATGAAAAAGGAACGTTTGAAACGACAATGCCGATGATTCTTGACCCCCGTGGGACCGTATTTGTGCGAGAATCCCTGGGTAGGTGTGAGTGACCTCTTCTAAAAAAGTCTATTAAATTAAAAAGAAGAATGAATAAAATAGGGTTTACTCGTTGAGATACCAAATATTTATTCCTTGATTATTTTGTCACTATAAGTTTAAGTGCACTAAATATCGTAATGAATATGTAGAAACTATAAAATGTATTAGCACTAGAGTTATCAGTAGAAACGGGGAATCGATTGAGTAAATACAAAAATGGAACGGTATTAATATGGTTTGTGAATCTATACAAAAAAACTCTAAAAACAAATCCTAGTAAATATAATATTTCTTCCATTTTGCATCTCAAGATAGGCTTTCATCTCAGTAGCCATCAAAATAATAGTATAAATTATATAAGTAATATAATATAAAACTAGTAACATGATCTATATAACGTATATACATACCTAATAGCGTGCTGTTGTTGACTTCTATAGCTTATGATTTATAAAGAAGAACAACAAAACAAAATAAGATGGGTCAAAAATGTAAAATATTTATAGTAACTGGTATTCATCATACATATAAACGTATAAAATAAATACCTATAAAAAAAGAGTGTGCGGTAGCGTGGGCCCCACCATA